TTGGGGGCAGGGGCTTTGGGTGGGGGGCAAGGGGCAGCAGGGCTGGGGGGCACGGGCTTTGGGTGGTGGGCAAGGGGCACAAGCAGGGCATTCTGCCATGTACCCCCCCCCATCTTGTTTTTCTGGCATGCTGGCACTCCAGCACTTTCCAAGGTAGGCATTGTGGGGTTTTTCGACACTCCGGCCAAAAACCATTGCCTACCCCTGCTGTAGACTAAATTCATCACCACTGTAACTCCATTAACATGACTGGAACCATTGCACCACAGCTCCTGCACCTGTTTCTTTCAGTCTCTTAATCCTAATTTCTAATTTTTTCCTCATAATAATAGGGCAGGAGCTCTCTAACACAGTAACCTCCTGCAAGTGCCTACAGACAAAAAGCAATTCAAATGAAAACTTGAAGCTTAAAACCTTGAGTGCATACGAAATAGTAAATCTCGGATTATACTATGTTTTAGCTTACTAAAAACTAAATGTGATAAATCAAAAATGAAAGGAAGACTAAGCAGTCACAGTGAATTTCTCATCACTTTCATATGATACCTAATATGCATTTGGTTGTATCTGTTTTCACCAGAAGGGTTTTTTACGTCTACAGCAAGCTTCTTCCATCCTTCCTGTGGATCAAGGAAATCGGCCAGTTGCCTCATCAGTCCATAGCCAATGCAACGAACATATGTGGAAGGAGTTACAGATTTGCTCATCTTTGGTTCCTAAAAATACAATACATAATTTTAACAGATAAGGTAAAAATATGCTTATAAGTCAATAAAATATACATGTTAGAAAGTGTAATAGAACTATGACAGATGTAAGAAATTAGACTTGCTTATCAAACATCTCAATTAATTTGTTTTTAAATCATCCCACAACTAGATTGCTGCTTAGAATCATAGAAAATTAGGGCTGGGAGGGATCTCTTGTCCAACCCCCTGCTCAAAGCAGGACCATCCCCATCTATATCATCCCAGTCAAGGCTTGGTCTAGCTGGGTCTTAAAAACCTCCAAGGATGGAGATTTTTAACTTCTGTATCTAGTCATTCCTCTCTATATCAAAATTATACCCTGAAGTCAACCATGAGTGAGTGGGCCCTGCCCCCACCTCGCCTTCTGGCTATGTGCTGTATAAACATGAAGCATCCTGTGTTCCTCTTAGTCTCCAAGCCCCAGATCCCCAAACACAATGCACTGCAATTCCTACTTTAACCATTATTTAATGCCTAAACTCCCCATGAATTCATAAATGGCTTTGAGGATTTGTACCTAAGTCCACAAGTCTTTCCAATATATCCCAGACTCCAAGCTGGTTTCAGAGACAAGGAACCAAGTTCATTATACTGCTCACAACTACAGATTAACACCACCTAGGGCAGAGAATCCCACACTCCAACCCAGTACCCATGGTCTAAATTCAGGTCCTCACCCTTGTTAAAAATGGACTTAATGAAGTTCATAATTCAATTACATTCAAGGGGTGGGGTTTTTTTTGCTTGTGGCATGTGAGGGTTTTGCTGGAGCAACCCAGAGCTGCTCCTCAGCTACATGCAGCTGGGAAAGGCCCCTGGGATAGGAGGTTGCTGACCTGGTGGATGCCCTGCCTAATCTTCATAACCAGAAAATCTCACTGCTATCTTTCTTTGGGTAATTTTATCTAATGTTAGGCTTCAAAGGCCATATCCAAATGAGCACAAATGTGCATTTTGCAGCACCTCAGAGCCTTCTGAGGTGTCTCAAATGCATGTGGCACAGTTAATTTGTTCATCACGCTGCATATTTGCTGCGCAGTGGCAAAATTAGATTCTGGGAAATCCTCGTATCTTAAAAAAAATACCCAACAAAATCCCCCAAACACATCAAAAACAAGAGATGCGGTACACATGGCTGCAGCATGTGCGGCCTGAACCCAGAGCCTGGTTGGCCAGAGACATGCCCTGCCTGCTGGCCAGGCTACGTGCATCTGGATCGCCACTGCTGTAGCCCTGGGAGGCCCCCAGGTAAGGATGCTGGGGCCAGCCCAGGTGCTAGACCCAGCCTCCTCTACCCCACCAGGGGCAATTTGCCATGCACCAGAGCATGCATGGGCAGGGGTGTGTGCTGGGAACAAGCAGCAGTGGCACAAATGTGCTGCTGCTATTTGTCCCTGGGGAACACACATTCCCGCTCATGGGGACACACCCAGAGACTGGATATTAGGAAAGACTCTTTCACTCGGAGGGTGGTAAAGCACTGGAACAGGCTGCTCAGAGGGGTTGTGGAGTCTTCATTCTTAAGACGTGAGGGGGCAAAGCCTGGGCTGGGATGATTTAGTTGGGGACAGTCTGGCTTTGAGCAGGGGGTGGGAGGAGATCCCCTGAGGTCCCGTCCAACCTCACTTGCTACCATGCTAGAACAGGTGCATCCAGGGGGCTGTGTTTAAAAGGGGCAGCCTGGATGTTCATACAGCGCCTGGGCCGAAGGGGCATAAGGCAGTGACAGCGGCCCAAAGAGACCCGGGGCCCCGCGTCTGAGGAAGCAGCCAAGGGAGCAGAGAGACACGGCCCCAGGCGCACGGTGCGAGCGAGCAGGGGCAGGGTTTTTGCTTGCGGGACACCAGGATTTGACTGGAGCAGCCCAAAACCGCGGCTTGGAGCGGGGCAAGGCCCGGGGCAGGAGGTGTCCGCGCCGACGGATGCGGGGAGTCATCGCGGGTCAGCCCCGCGGTGTCCCTCCGCCCCGGCAGAGCCCCGCGGCACTCACAGCAGCCGGAGCCTGAGCCGTGACCGTGATCGGGACCGCCCCCACCCGGATCCCCGCGGGAAGTACCGGCAGGCCGCGGCAGCCCCTCACCGTACCTCCCAGCCCTAGGCTCCAGCGCTCCCCTCCCCCGCCATTGCTCAACTCCGGGAATTCCTACTTCGGCTTCCCCTTTAAGAAGGCCTAGGAGGGCGGCCCGCCACCTTCCCCTTAAGAAACGCGCGCCTGCGTAGACGGTGCAGGGTGAGACAGGAAGAGGGTGGTGAATCCGGAACGCGGCCCGATTCCTTTTTGCTGCGTGGAAACCGATGGTACGGTCCGACCACCCCGTCCCCCTGCGTGCTCAGGAACGTGGTGTCGTCTATGTGCGGCTGGCTTCCTCGCGCGTGAGCAAAGCCCTGAGCCGGGGCGCGGGGCTGCCGGGCTTTACTGGTCCCTCCGCTACGGCAGCGCGTGGCTGGGCCTGGGTGAGGCTCTTGCTGGGGGAGCCGTAGGCCAGGTGTGGAGAACGTGCGGCCGGGGGGCCGGATGCGGCCCACTAGGGCATTCTATTTGGCCTGTGGGGCCATTAAAAACATTTAGAAAATTAATATTTATCTGCCCTTGGCTGCCTGTCATGCGGCCCTCAACTGCTTGCCAAAACCCAGTAAGTAGCCCTCCGCCCAAAATAATTGCCTGCCCCTGGTGTAGGCGAAGGGGCCCATGGGGCATGACTGACATCCTCTGTGCGTGTCTGCCTGTGGGTGTGGGGCCCTCAGAGAGTTGCCTCCATAATGTGCCTGAGCTTCCTGCAACTGGCTCCAACCTCTTGACACCTGGCACCTGTCATCCCCCTTAAGTCACTGCTCTTCTCTCTGCCTTAATCAGATAGGCCCTTTCTTTACACCGGGCCCCTGTTACACACATTGCGTGATTTGTTGGTGAGTGGTGCAGTAAATTGAAACCACCCGCACTTGCAAAGTCTCCTGCAGCCATCAAAAATGACTCCTATTAAAATGCACCCTGGGATTTCCTTCTCTTTTCTAAATTTACTTATTCTTCCACAAACCTTTTCTTCTTGCTCATTCCATTTTACCTTTACTGTCTTTAATTCAGCCCTGGGAAGCTTACGTGCTACTCATTCTTAGCAGTTTTTCAAAGGTGTTGGATCTGGTCAACCTATGACAGGCCTAACAAGCTTGTAGGTGGTTTTTGAACTGCTCATAGGAAACATTCCATTTTCAACTCATGCTAAATAATTTTAAAATTTCTCTAAGTTGATGTTTAAAAAGAGATAATGTCCCTCAGTAAGTAGAAAGGGCAGAATTTAAAGTATTCCTATGCCTTTTCTGTGAAGTGTTTCTCTGTTAATTTATCCTTTTTGCAAATTTTGTCATTTCAGATTCGAAGTGGAAACAAGCACTAGAATCATGCTTAATTCTTTTAGTTATGTGAATGATCACATTGGCTTTTATGGTAGTGTGAAAAACTCTCCTAGTGACTTTGTAGTAGCAGAAATTGATGTGTTTGGGCGGTTACTTAGTGACACTGAGTCTTCTTGTGCTATCAGTGAAACTCCATTGGAACAAAAGAGCCCCTACCAGCAGCATCACAAAAGGTTAAGAATAAACGCCCCAGAACTGGGCATAGAGGATGAACATTGCCAGTTGGAAAATCTAAGTCACGCTTCAGAAGAACGTCTTTCATCTGTTAAAGAAAACAAGGAACGTGTGACCAAAACCATACCTAAAAGTGGGATCGATGACACTGACATATTGGACTCCTTGTTAGGCAGGTCTGTGAATGAGCTGCTTAGTCAGTTTGCTTGCAATGTAAAAGATGCATGGAATTCAGAAAATGATCAGACTCCTTATTCTAATGAATTCTTACTGGGGCCTATCTTTGAGAAAGAGAATCGAGCCTGCTTACATAGTGCCATAAGACAGAAATTTCCTTTCCTAATGACTGTTACAAAAAACAGTGAAATTATTGTAAAAGCAAATGCTGATTACAGAGAGCTTTGCCAGTTAGTTACTGAAGAAGAAGCATATGATTTTTTTAAATTTTTAGATGCAAAACTGGAGAACTCTAAACTTTCTTTTAAGCCCAATAAGAACAAGGAACACAGAAAGACTGTCCATCATTTCATCAGTAAAAAATTTGGAAAACTTTTAGAAACGAAGTCTTTTTCTGTGACAGACTTCAGTGGTCAGCAAAACACAGCGATAATGGTAAGATTTCGGGAGAAAATGTGTTCCAGAAAGAGGCCAGCTGCTGATTGCCAGGAGAAACAGAATCTTTATACAGGTGAATTTTAATAGTTTCATGGTTTTCTTGGATAACATTGCTGTGTTTAAAATAATTAAACTTTTAAACAAGAAAACAGATTCAGGTCTTTTAGTATTCGTACATCAGGAGTAATTCTACTGAGAAAAGTGGCGTAATACCAGTTTTAAATTGGCATGAGGAATGAATCAGTGTTGCTAAAATAAAACTGAACAAAAGAAATGATTGAACTATTTCCATATTTAACTTTTTGTCTTGTGTTTATTGTATGCATTGGCTGCTTAAGGATGGAGAATCTGTGTGCTTTGATATTAGCCTGTTCTGTTAGAGGGTAGGATTTTATTTCCCGCAGTCTTATGATAGTCAAATTTGGCTTATGACAGTATTTCTTAAAACCTCGAGTACCTGATACTCAGAGTAATGTGTCTATCAGAAGAGCAGTATGTGTTAAAGAGACCAACATTAAATCTCATGTTCTCTTTAAATTTTTCATTAGGTGTTTTGTAATTAAAGTTGTGCAATTGTTTTAAGTGAATAACAGTGAAGAGATTTTTGTCTTGGTAACATTGAAAAAGTGCTGTTGTTCTTAAGCTCATCTTTTCTGGTTTTTGTAGCTTAATTAGTTTCTCTTACTGTGTACATCTTTCTGTTTTGACACGGAAATTTTTTTTTTTAACTACAGATTTAGATTTTTAAAAAATCCTTCTATATTCTTAGCAGGTAACATCTTCTAGATATAAAGAACTGGCACCTGGCTATTCTTCATGGTATGGGGCCTTGGGTTTTTTAATAACTTTGAGGTCATTGTTTCAGCTTTCACCCTTCAGAAAGAAAATCTGGAAACACTAGAAGCAATTGGCTATTTGTCATCTGAACTTGGTGTACTTCCTTCAGACTTCAGTTACACAGGCATCAAAGATAAGAAGGCCATTACCTACCAAGCTATGGTTGTGAAGAAAGTGACTCCTGAGAGGTACTAAAAAGTGATTTCCAATATAAAACAATTATGCCACTGGAGTACCTTAATACATGTAAATGCAGCAGCACTTCATAGATTTCATAGACATTAGGGCTGGAAGGGACCTCGTAAGATCATTGGGTCCAGCCCCCTGCCCAAGGGGCAGGAAATCAGCTAGGGTCAAAGGATCCCAGCAAGATAAACATCCAAATGTTTCTTGAAAGTGTGCAGAGTAGGTGCTTGCACCACCTCTGGAAGAAGGATGTTAAAAGAGAAGTTGATATTTTACCTCCTTTCTGTATGGAAATACCCTCCCCTCCAAGGACTGTGAAATTCAGGTTAAGTTGCCTTTTTCCTCCTCTTCCTGGGCATTATCTTTTCAGGCAGCATTGTTAAGAACTAGATAGAAGGAATACAGATTGCAGTCCAGCCTATGACAGTTCATGTCTTGCTGAACAAGTTAGTATATAAAGTGCCACCGTGTCCTAATCTTTTGCCTATATTCAGGCTAGCTAGCTCTCTCTACCCTTGAGTCTTGTCCCACTGCAAAGAGGAAGAACAGTCATGTAAAACAGTGTAGGAATAAGAATCAGTCACAGGTTTGCCTTTCCCAGCAGACTTGGCAAATTAAGAATTGTAGCTGCATTTTTCCTACCAGGAGTTGATTGTTCAATACCCCTTCTTTCTTGAAAACTGCGAAAAAGCATGCTGGCACCTTTTTTCCAGAGCAGAGAAGGAGGGGGAAGGCTTATAGGTTGCAGCTCCACCATGAGCCAAGATTTGTGAGGGTTTCCTTTAGTCTTGTATTGTGTCTCTGAAACCAGCAGTTTCTCTCAGACAGGAGGCAGAGTCACTCTCCACCCTGTCTTGCAGAGAGTTGGTTGGGATAAGGGTCTTCTAGGCTAGGGGCAGACATTCAAAAAGCTGAAGCTTGAATTAATTAAATTTTTCCAAGTTAGTCTAACCTGTGTAGATCGAATCAATTTGCAAGTGAGTAGACATTCACTTTTGACTCCAGAAATGTAGGCATGTGCCTCCAGTGACTCAAGCCAGAAGCTGGGGTGTGCTAGAGTGAGCCCTCAGTTCGAGGGAAGCTAAGCTGAGGGAGGATGTGGCCAGGCCTGAGTATAACTGGGGAGGGGAGGCTGCTGTGAGTCAGGCTCCATAATTAGCCTTAGCTCCCCTATCTCACAGCCAGGTCACATGCCCTCTCCCCACAGCCGGCTGGCCACTCCTCAGAGGGACTTGACCCAGGGCACCACATTGGTGCCCCCAGTGCTGCTGCTTTCAGTGCGGGGATTAAACCCCCCTCTCCCCCTTTCCCTCAGGCTACTGGCATCTGACTGCCATAGCCCTGGGTACGTGAGCAAAGCCTATTGGTGCCTATGCCGCCCTCCCTACAATAAGGGTATGTAACAGAGGGACTTCTCAGGGCTGACTTCCCAGTGGCCCACCCACCTATTTCTGGGCTAACCACCCGCCTTCTTCCTGCTATGCCTTGTTGTTAATTAACTAATTGATGTAAATTAACTGGGAGGCTGCCCATTTCTTGCCCCAATGGCTGGGGGTGCTATCTGCGTCTCCATTTCTCCCCTACACCACAGCCCAAGCCTCACAGGTGGCATCCAGATGTTATCAATATCATCGGCCCTGCACTGGGCCTCAGAATTCTACTAGTTGAACCCCGCCTGGATTCCTCTCCTCAGGCAGCCTATTCCGCCATCATCCTGGGCAGCATAGCTCCCTGAACTGCTTCCCCTTATGGGTGTGGTCCCACCAGGACCTTTGTCTACTAGCTCTGGCCCACCTCCGGGCCAGTTGGAACACCAGGCCCTCAGCTCTTGGGCATTCCTCGCTGTGGGCCCCTGGCCCTTCAACCCTTCCAGTCCTGGCCCCTGCATTGACCAGTCAGGGGATCTCCAGACAGGTGTGAGTCTGTGGCCCCACTCTCTCTCTCTGGGGGTCCACCTTCCAGACCCTACAAAGGAGGTAACCCACCCAGTTGTGGGGGCTAGGGGTTAAGGTGCCCCAACCCATCTTTCACTAGGGTGGTAACTGGCCTGGTATTTCCTGGGGGCTCCTGCACCACTGAGAGCC